CAGTAGTTATAGTTCAAGTGATTTATCTATGGGTTTAAACCAACTACAGAAATGTGGTTTTTTCCACTGAACACAAATTCTTAGCGTTATATAGATTATATGTTAAAGTGACAAAATATTGGTAAAATGTCCACAGCAAAATTTACAATAAGAATTTACGCAGTTTCGAATCTCTATAATAACTATTGTTTCTCGAAATAAATATGACTTTTGTAATAGTTCTATGTAAGAGGGTAAACATGAGCAAAGTCATTAGTTATCTGAAAGCTCTTTGAAGTTCTGTAACTGTAATTTACCTGAAGTGTCAAAGTTCCCACATAATTCAAAAACATAATTAACGAGGTACAATAGGAAAAAGTTTGAATATAATTAAATATTAGTGGGTACATATGGTGATAAAGTAAGCAATTTCTATTGCGAAATATCCAATAGTTTTATTTAATAAAATAAAAAGTGCGAACCGTTACGTCATAGCAATATAATAATATTATAACAATGCATCACTTGTTAAGTCAGTTCAAACGATTTTAAATGATTTAGCACAAAATATTATCATACATTACTATAAATACTATAATTACGTAGATATTTAAATTTAAAAATTTAGCCATTTTCCAACTTTTTCCAGCTGTGATCAAACACTTTTAATGAAGGACAAAAGAAATCAATGTACTCAGTCAGTGGTTCACCCGAAGACCACCGGTATAACACTATTCAAAATCATTACTTATTTTCGATATTCCAAATGAATACCTATAGGTATAAAAATATGTTGATTGTGTTATGTTTATTGCGTTTGGCTTATCAAGGTATATATATCCGCCTTAGTTTTAATAATTGTGATTTGAGATATCATCTAGCAAAAACATGTATTTCTTGTAACAAAATAACATGTTATTTATTATCTGTACATTGTTTCAACGTTATAACTATTAATAGTCATACGATTATTTTAAAACAAAATATTGACTATAAATTAAAATCTACTATTACTAGGTTCGCTAAATATTTAATGAAAAAAAATTCCACGAACTTTATATAAGTTGTATTCTTAATCAAAACATATAATTTATCATAACGAGCTAGACTATAAGCTGCCGACGTTGTGTTGTATAATTAAGTAGGTAATTAGTACCTATGATAGCTGAGTAAGTATAATGCTATGTTTGTTTTAAATATTGAATGGATATTTATAAAAAAAAATACACAAGTATATTGTGCGAATAACTTAAATAAAACATTGGTTCATCCAACAATTTATTCAAATGGCATCACCTACTTAAAATATCATCAATCACTTGATTCAAAACCTTTTTTTTGTACATAATGTATTACAGAAAAGAGGTAGTACTGATTTTATATCTACATGTATAAAAACAATATAATAACAACTTAAGGTAATTTTTAAATTTTTTAGTACTCATTTTTAGAATTTTCTTAGCTGTGAATTCTTCTGTATAGATTATTATTTTCTTGACAATTACATAACCATCAGTCTGTTTTATTTTTTCTGTCATTTATCAATTATTTTTCCTTATTTTTTGTACAAAAGCCTACTAAGAAAATTGAAATATTATATTTTCTTCTAAATTAATTATATTATATAATTATATACTTTTCAAGTACAAAATCGATACAATTTTCAATCCAAAGAAAATTCTAAATTTCGATTGCTGTTTAAACCTATTACTACAATTTCAGACAAAATAGTCACACAGTTTAAACAAAAGGTTGCTATGATAAAAAAAATGTTGGTAGATTATGCCTTTATCGTCTTGACTTTGAAATATGTTTAAAGTATTATATCGAGAAAAACAGATAAAAAAACATTTCAAAAGCATGCCGAAAGCATGCTCGAGAGCAATTCAGGATATTAGTCATTCAATAATAGTCACTTTATCAAACGATTCGAAGTTATGTACCAATTTATCAACTGAGCCTACTCGTAATCACCAAAATTTAAATTACCTAATTTGTAGATCATACATTTCTGTTTTTTTAATTTTAATTTTTTAATTTTAACGATTGTTTGGTTTTTTTGTTTAATATATTACATAGTTAGCACTCACAACGAACTAATTTGATTTTGATAAATCTTTTAGTAATCGATACAACAAAAACAGTTCATATTATTTTAATAATTTAAAACAAAATAAACAATTCAACAATATGGCATAGTTAGATGGTCTATCAGTAAATTGTCGGTTAATCTTTTTTTGTACACTTATCGTTATTATATCGGGTCAAAGTTGAACGTTAAAATACTTATCTACTCATTAATTTTCATTATAACATACTATCGGATTGGCACAATGAATTTTTTTCTTTTCCCGAGACGCAATTATTCGCCATTCTCGATTCCTATTATTGTTATCGTCATCGACACGACAGACACGAATATTATACAGGTATCTATGTGTCTGCCGCAAGTCTTATTCGTCCTGATAATAATTAATAATATTAATACAATCAGAAACGAAATAATATTATTTATACAGCTCGTCGTTTTAGTAATATGTGTTCGACGTTAATTACGTTAATTATTAATAAAATCGGTCTACATACGTACACCTACTACGACCAGTACAATAGCTGTACTTTGAAGGTAATCGAAACGATAAAACCTATCCATTTTTTTTTTCTCTTCTAGTTAAGCGAAACGAGTATGAACGATACACGAAAATGCATTCGCGGTCACGTACTTTGTACCTATCTATACCTATTCAATATTATTATAATGCAAAACAATATGACGTATAATGTATAAAATGTTATTTCACGGCACCGTGCGGTCCAACAATATTATTTATCTCTGATTATTAATGCCCACCCATCTGCGCCGGTACAGCAGTGGTACACAAAATCCCGGATTACAGACCACTGACGTAAAATCTCTGTACGCTTGTTTGAAGGGTTCCGCTCGATTCCATTCGAATTTATCGACATCACTTATTCCCTGTCCACTTTACTGCACGGGCACGTAGGTACACGATGTTGTGCTACCACCACCGTGGTTACGGTCAGAGTTCCGAGGGGAGTCGAGTAGTGGCAGCGAACGATATGCTGTCGTATAGGAAACCGTGTGAAAAAAAATATATAATTTCAGAAAACTCGCCATGAGTAGACGGTGTCTTAGGGAATCACTTATTCCCTGTCCACTTTACTGCACTGCGCGGACACATAAACGTTGAAGCCAAACCACCCCCAGGATTAGGAAAAAAAACCAGTTTTTTTTCATTTTAAACAACAACAAAAAAGTTTTTTTATTAACTACATTTTTTTTGTCAAACAAAATAATTTTCCCATTTTTTTTTACTGTTTCAAACTTATTTTAAAAACAAGAAAAAAATATATTTCTTTCAATCATATTTTCAATTAATAGGTAAATACTAAAAAAGTCAATAATACACAAAACTCGATAAAATAATTTATTTAAAAAATATATCATATATAATCTAATATAATTATTAAATCATATTTCACTATGTTTTAAAATTAATAAAGCAGAAATTTGTTATGTACAAAGTCAAATTGGATAATATGCAAATAAATTTTACCATTGTTTGTTGGTAAAGTGTGCGTTCTTAACATTTTAACATTTTTAAAACACATAAGTTATTAATAATTGGTTAATTTTCATAACCCTTTAAATGTTAATAAATAAATTTAATTATTAATAAAAATAAATAAATCCTATTTACCATTTAGGTACTACGAACATCAAAAAATTAATATAATTTAGTTGTTTTTGCTAAAAAAAAAAACAGAATTTAAATAATGTCATTTTTTAATATTTGTATAGGTTTAAACATAATGTAATAGAACATAGCAGCATCTGTAAATATATCGATAAAACTAACATTAATTTATTTATTTATTAAACCGTAAAAATGACGTTGTATATGTGCAGGGTCTGTGAGTAGGGACACATGAAATATGTATGCTTAAGGCTTAACTGTAGTCTATAATGTGATAGTAATAAACACGACAATTATTGATACGTCAAATTTCCCAGCAAAAGCCTCTAAAACTATGTTCAAAAATGTTCAGCTGAATAATTGTTTTCCACCCTTTGATACAGCTTTCCAGCAACCACGAGTTGTGAACTTGTGCCAACGGACTTACACGATAGAGAATATTAATTAAATTTTGTCATTATTTATTTTTTTATTTTATTAATTTACCTACGGCAACGAAGGCCGTTGGGTGGTTTTTGGTAAGTTTTGAACTGTAGTGGAAGGTAAAGTTGGTTTGAGACACTACGAGTACACGAGTGGCACGGATTTGCCTCTATAAGAATCTGGGTGGTCACCCATCCAGCTCAATATAGTTAAAGCGTTACACTTTAGTTGTTTTTCAAGTCTATTGTTAATAGATCTTCATTGTTTTCTACCTGTACCAGTGATAATGCTATTACTGTGCCGATCGGTGCACACCTTAACTTTTGATAGTTCATTGAAGTTTTAATTGTTAAAATTGATTTTAAATATTGTAATACGTATTTGTTATGAATTTATTGGATTAAACCTAACCGACAACCGAGACAGGTATGACAGGAGATATATGGAGAGGAAAAAAATCAAGACTTGACATGATTTTTATAAGACCAAATGATCCGGGAACTACGCATAATGGCACCGGCCGGTGCTGGCAATCGGAGCGCATTAAAACTGCGATTGGAGCCAGACACCGCCGGCACACCAAACCGCTATCACTATTACTATTATTTTTGCGCTATCTTACATAATATTATATCTACCGGTAAAACTATGATTCATACGTATTTCATTACATTAGCTATTAAATCGTAGAAGACACAACGTGGTATCTGTGCGGCTGTGCGTGCGTGCGTCAGCGCGTGTGGGAAATTCGTGTGCGTAACAACAGTATAAACGGTGATAGGCGAGTGGTATTGATAGCCGTCGGTGGAGTGGTGGACGGGATAGGCCCGAAGTGCAGGACAAGAGGGCAGAGCCCGGTAGTTGGCGATTATTATAAAAAAGACGACGTTTCTAGCCGGATAATAACAGTTCGCAAACGACCGTGTACGCAGTTAATTAAGACCACCGGTTCAGTAGTCTTTAATTACGCACCACACAACAGCAGTAGAGTAATAATAATTAAGATGATGTTCAACAAATTCGCCGTAAGTGTTTGATGATATTTAATTTGCGTTGTTTGTATTAGTGTAAAATACTATTTCAAAAACTGAATTGCAAATGTTTGTTTGGAATATTAATAGAATGATATTCTAATAATTAAAGAGCATTGATGTGATTTTTAAAAGGATAATATTCCATAATTGTCATTGTTCGTTTTACCTACACGGTTAGCGTTACACGCACCAGTAATGGGACATTATTATACCATCAATGTTTGCAATCATAAATGTTACATTAATTCAATACCCACATATTAAGTTTAAACATTCGTTTTGATGTATACCATTAATTAATTTGAGAGAAACATATAATATAAATGATCACATTAAACATAATATATTTTGGTTAATTTTAATAAATCATAAATGTATTATTCAACCAACAGACAAAAATTATTAATAATAAAAACTTTTTAACTATAAAATATATGCAGTGTATACCTTTCGTATCTTTTTTTCTTGATGAAACATTTTAAATTTAAATTTTTATAAAAAAAATGTTTTATTTCATCATACAGTAAGGATCATAATGTTAAAACACAAATATCTGTATTAAAGAGAGTACCAATAATTAAATAATGTTATATAAAGTTAATTATTTACAATACATAAATCAAGCAATTAATAGAATGACAATATATTTAAAACCAATGCAATTCGTCAAATAACTACCTACTCATTTAGATTGTTTTTTAAAAAAATACACTAAACGTTGAATATCTTTTTTTGTTTATTATTTAAATCAAATTTAAAAAAAAAAAATAGTATACTCTAAAAAACTATGTATTTGAATTTTTGCCAATATTAACTTAAACATTTGACAGCATACTAAATCAAAAATTAAATCAAAAATGTAAAACAAAAAAACTTTTCGTTCGTTGAATATTAACTGTAACTATTATATGTGAATTGTTTTGTTGTTATTATAAACTCTCGTTTACGTTATATTTACAAATAACTTTACAAAATATGTTATTAAACATGTAGTAATAAATAAATATGGCTATCAAAATATAAGTTAAAGACGAGCGTAATTTACTATTATGTGAGACTTACTACTCGTTAGTATCGAACTTCTAAGGAGAAACATTATACATTAATCTTATACCATGCATTATAAAATATAATACTTCTATAAATATATTAGAACGGCTTGTTATGGAATATAACTCCACAACAGGTGGTATAAAAATTTAGCACACAAGTTATAAAACGAATTGGGTTCATTTTGCTTTATTGAAATTTGAAATAGTAAAATTGTTCAATTATAAGACTATTGATAAATAAATTGCAACATAAATATTAATATTTACTAACCAAAAAAATACTTAAGATATAAACATAATATTATTTTATATGGTATCCCTTTTAATATATTATGTTACTTATATATTTCATTTTTTTTCCTGTATATTTTCCGTCACAAATGAGAGTACACTTTTCCATTAATAGCACACCATTTCTTCAATATTGTTAATATTACATAATAAATATACTAAAATAATATCAAATGTATAGTAGCATGTTGTACGTTGACACATTTTCAATAAAATAAATAACAAAAATATAGAATATTATGTTGGGAACAATTCCTAAAGAAAGATTAATCAGTTTCAACTCAAAATTAGGTCAGATTTAGCCAATATGATATTAATGTTTTAGAAAAAAAGGCTTAAACAATTTAAACGAGCTAATTTACACGATCTATATTATTCATTGTTAACTAAGAAATTATATATAAAAATATATTTTATAATGATTATAATAATATTAGCACAATTATAATAATATAATATCTTACAGCACTTAGAATAGTATTTAGTTATTTTAAAAATCACAACGATAAGATAACAGAGATCACAAAGTATGACTTATTAATAAACTTAAACTACATGCAAAAATAATAATATTCAATAACAAATGTAGTCGCTGAACATAGTAGGTATAAATTAATTCTTTTTAATTTTCGTAAGCATCATTCAATATTTAAAGCTTCTGTTATTATTATTATATATAAATTCAATTTGTGAAATTAACAAACAAAATTATTTATCTTTTTCTAGTAATATAATCTATAAACTATCAAATGTACCGATGTAAATTACAAAATAAAAATAATTAGGTATGAATAATTTGTATCATAATAATTATTGTTTAAACGAGCTATTTACAATATCAACAAGATTGAATCAAAGCTAAGAAAAAGTCATAATAAAAATTCCAATATATACAAGTGTGGTTATTTTACACCCTAGAGAAATTAAAATAAACAATTAATGTGGGGCTTCGCTTCAGTGAACTAACAAATTATAACCAAACAAAATGAATGATAGGCAGACTTTTACGAATTACTTTACTAGTCTTCATTTTTAATTGACTAAACACTATAAATTCATAAGCGAAAATTCTGATTAATTAGATAATCATAATATAAGTTATCACAAATGCATTACCTTTGTAGTTCATACACATATTATGGCATATTAAATAAATTGCATTGATTTATATTTAAAACTAAAGCGTAATACTGGTAGGTAGGAATGATATTATTCAGTTTACTAATCTTAGAAAAACGAATTCCCACATAAGTTAAAATTATCTAAGTGCATAAGGTCTGCATTGAAATTTAAATAAAAAATACCCAATTAACTGTGAGTCAAAATTTTTAATTTAATTTTAAACACAGTTACGGCAGGTTTTTGAATACTTTATAGAACCTTGATTGTGTAAACGATCAGTGATCTTCCTGACCGTCATGCACTCGTAATAATTGGGTTTTAACCGAAAACGCACACTGCTCGGTATTAATTATGATATTATCCATCGTAACCTTCAAATCATATACATTAATAATCTAATGTAATATAAAATATAATATTATGTATGTACACAGTGTGCGTTGTTCACCTAATCAGTGGCGTGTTTGTAGGAGAGATGTGTAGATCGCCCCTACCCTCCCACGGCCCACGACGAGGGAAGTTTGCCATTGGTGTATTTTTTATTTATATTTAATTATAGGTATCTATAACAATAATCAACGATTACTATTAAATAAGATGAAAAATAAAATAAAATAAATATTATTCTGCTATCTCAAAAATATAAATTCGAGGAGTCGATTAAAATAAATCTGGTACGTGGTGGTGGGAGGGGGGGGGTGCTATCGGTGTAACGTCAGATGCAATTTTTAACCCTCCCACCTTTCAGTAGAGTTTTATAATATTGTATAGGACGTCTCCTGATTATAATATCCAAGACGTGTCGATGCACATGACGTGTATATTAACAAAGTTCTGGTTGTACCTATAGGTATTCGCCTTGTTGGCCGTCAGTGTCGCCGTGTTGGTCGTGCCGGCCATCGGACATCCGACCGAAGACGTCGGGTCCGAGATCGAGGAAACCGCAACGACGGTGAAACACGGTATCCGCGGTTGGCTGAAGAACGTCCAAGCGAAAATCGTCAAACACGAAGAAAACTGTACTCACGGCGGCGGCGTCATACGTTGGGTGAAGAACAAACTGGGGTTGTCGAAGAAAACCACTACCGAGACCCCGACGACCACCACCACCACCGCAGCGGAAACCGATTATTCTGGTTACTTACCGGTAACCTCGGTGGTAAACCAAGGAGAACCAGAAGAACCCTACAACGGTGGCGACGACGACGTCACGATATTGGACGACTCCGTGGCGACGGTACCCGAGAACGATAGCGGCAACGAGTCTGTCGATGTGGACTCAACATATTCGTCGGCGACCGATAATGTCGTCGACACAGCTGACCCCGACATAGACGTCCGTATCCGCTTGTAAACCAATTAGGTACTATGTAATATTATTACGATCGATAGTTTTGGTCATCGTTTTCACTTCGACAAACTTCGCTCGATAAGATATTCCGGTTTGTAATCGTTCTCGTAGGCTTTTACATTTTTTTACGAACAAAAAGTTCCATTATATTATGTAAGATTTTTTTTTTTTTGTTTTGACAATTATTATTATTGACGAATATTGCGTACCTACCTTATTATTATAACCGTGTCGTTTAAGGCTGTGTTGGTATGATTTTATGCACGTAAGATAATTTAATATATTTCTATAGGTACGTACGAATATGAACATTAAAATATTATTAAGTAGGTAGGTACAATATTGTTATTATTGTTATTATAAATATTACTACTACTGCATATTATTATTATTATTATTATTATTAATATTTTATTGTTATTTTTATTATTTTTATTATTATGATTATTATTACTATTATTATTAAAACAATATGTATGATGTAATATATAATAAAATAAATGCCTGTTGCGACTTGCGATCTATTACGTTGTTGGTAGACCAATGCAGGTTTGATCCCTAACCTTGCGATTCATTATAACATTATAATATTATGTAGGTACGTATAAACTAACCTAGTACATAATAATATAGTATACCATTAACAATCTTAATTAATAGGATTTTTGATATAATTTAATTGAACTATGGAATAAAAATAAACTGTATGGTCTGTATGTGCCTTTTTTAATTCAAAGTTCAAGGGTATTGGTTTTATTTCAGCTGTATTTTCAGCCATTACGATTTAAATGTGAGAATTAATTTGAGTTAATTAATTGTCAAACTTTCCGAATATTGTTTAAACGACAGATATTTACAATGCGTAATAGAAAATATTAAACAATATATACGATACCTATAGTATTTTGTACAAAATTTAATAAACGAAAACTACAGGAAAAACATTTCGATCATATCAATCACATAATATGTGTATGTATTGTGTGTGTATACAATATAATATTATTTACAACATTATTAATTCAATTAAGGCACTTAAGAATTTATATTACCTAACGGTTTCCATTGTAACAAAAATGCACTAAACAATGTAGATATAATTTAACTACTGAAAACTAAAAAATGTATGCACCAAATTTTATTGATAAACAGACTACCTACCTACATGCAGATAAATAATTTTAAATAGCTTACCACTATAATTGATAATTATACTATAATTGATTTATTGTTTGTTTGAAGTCTGTAGTAAAAAATAAATAGTGTTATAATTTTTATTTTACACAAAGTGAAAAGCTATTTGAACCATTAAGTATGTACAGGAGCTAATGTTGTTATTAATGGTTAAACAATTATTATTAATACAATAGTATTGAATAATAATGCATAGATCACAATGTGTAAGTATCAAAATCCATCGTATCTATGTATTTTATGATAATAGCACCTATTTGCAGTGGTCAAAGAGGAGGGAGAGAATATGGTGACATGGCATCCCTCCACTTTTTATAATTCACATTTTTCATCCAACCATTTATTTTGTACGACTGTTTAAGCGATATATGAGAACTATATAAATTATGAAAGATAACTCTCCACTTATTTTGAGTCACTTTGACCGCTGCTTATTCGAGTTTCAAAATATATTACATTTTTTACATTTTTTTTCATTATTATGAATATTCTTTTCTGAATCAAAAACTAAATTAAATAACCATATATAAATCAAGTTTTTCGTATAAAAGTAGTCAAGTACATAAATGATGTATCTCAATAAATATTTTATTCGCCATACCGACATAATGGTTATTGTAATATACATTTATAGACACTGCAGTTGTTCAATACAATTTATGATTATAAAACGCAACTACATTTAATAGCCTTCAACATAATATTACACATTGTAATACGTATCTGATATTGTGTACCTACATCATCTTTAACATACAATTTAAATATAAAGTATACAGAAAATGAAAAATTTAAACTAGTAAGGGAAGGTACCTACTAAATAATACAAAATTATGTTCATATGGTTTAATTTTCGGATTCTTTATAATTGGGTTTTATAATTGATGTGTGGTAAATAATTTCTAAATGATAAAATTAAGTGACAAAAAACAATGCGAATACCTAAGCTATTCGCTAAACCTGGACGATATATTACTCCGGCCATAATACATAATATTATAGACTATGAACAGTGATCATTACTCGCATATTAATTGGTAGTTAAACTATAATCATGATCATTTAAATGTAACTGATTTAATGTATACGTTTTACATATATTTTGATTTTGCATTAATATCTAGTACCTATATATAATACCAGATGGATTTATCATATTTTATGTAGGTAATGTGTTAAAATTTGTTTCATTGAAATTGTAAAATAGATTTTTGTAACATATTATTGCTTATAGTTTATGTTATAATAGTACTTTAATACGTAGGTACTTACGTTTTACTCAACAGAGAAAGACTAATCGGGGAAAGACTTGACATTTCCAACAATTAATTGCGGTTTTGCAATTAAATAATAGACAAGAAACTATTATTTGTTCCACTTTATTTGTATTAAATTGATAAAATTATTATTACTAACATTTTAAATCGGATAAAAAGTCAATATGGAACATAAAATATTATAGTCTGTATTGGTACTCTATAATATTATTCTAGTTATATTTCTGCGAGCTTTTTGAACTAGCCCAACAAATTAAATTTGATCCTCACCTCTGAGATCCTAGCTATACATATTATATATTATACATCCAAGCCGTTGCGACTACCTCAGTCAAGCTCAATAAAAATTATAAAATAAAATTTTTTTTTTCCTTAGTAGAATTAAGATGAAATAAAATAATAAAATAGTAATACAATTATTATTCTATCTTTTCAGTCATATTAAAAATGTAGCCCCTCCCCAAGCAAATGTTAACCCGGTTCGCCGAAACACATTTCAGATTCAGCCCGCTTTAAAAATAAAAAATATTGGATCCCTAGCTGCTTTATAACTTTAAACTGAAAATATTAAAATTCGTTACTCGACATTTTGTTTACAACTATTTAAATTTAAATGTTTACACAATTCAGTATTTAAGATTTGACTTTAATACCTAATCAAAATATCTATGTACTTACTATTATACATCTTAAACATCATTTAAGTAAATATTAAAAATAATTTATTTATTTCAATTTATTCTACAGCATTCAGACCAGAATAATAATTCTAATAATATAACAAATACATCGAAAATGACAAACATTTTGATCAACAATTGCTCATTTAAGAACGTTTAAATTACAAGGTACAACAGAATTAGACATAGTATTTTAAACAAAATACTTCTTTTTTAGACTATGAACAAAGTGGTCAAATATGTAATAATTTCAAAATGAAAGGGATTTTTTTTTTAACTAGTTATTTTTGTTGGTTAAATGTTTGATAATAGAATGAATGTTCTTATAAACGTTTTTATAAAATATAAATACCGTAGACCGTATAGACTTGTAGGTACCTATATATAGATTGTACATTTTATTTATTTGGTGCTTTAGCCGTTTTAAAGGTAATTTTTCGATCATTATATTGCGTTTCTAACATGTGGTGTACATAAACTATTTACCTGCCTACCTCAATATATGTATAGCTGTAAATTAAAATTATATATGAGTATTATTCCTATAAAATAAATAAAAACAAAATAAAATAAACTGTCTTTTCACTACAATAGATATTTTTGCACCAAAACAAAAGTGTTGTTTAATACTGTTTGATCGGGAGAATTATTAGAGTGGGTAGATAAAAGCGTGAGATAATAAATTATACAATACGTGTTAAACCTAAGTATATTATATAAAAAAAAAAAAATAGCATATTACACGTATTTAATTTATATTTACGTACAATTATTAGTATTATATTAATTTGCTAATATTAACCTCAAATATAGGTTGTTTCACTTAATGCGTCAGAACTACCTATAACTATGAGTGATACCATTGAATAATTATGTACTTTATTGGAATCTTCAAAATATGTTTTTACCATAGTAAATAATAATACAATATCAAATAATATCATAGTTATTAAAAGTAAACAAGCCGGTACCTAGGTACATATTTATTTTATTCACACAACACTGGTGATTTTTAATAATTATTTATAATCAAACACAATATTATGGGTACTTTGCGTTTGCATTATTATTTTTTATGTGCTTTGGATAACATATTTGGTAATATTATTCTCATATTATTTTGTTTAAAGATATATAAGGTCAAGGTACATAATGTTATATCTTCATGAAAATTATTTAAACAATGAAAATTACTTCATTACTTAGCCAAAGGTACGTTTAATTATTCTCTATTAACTTATTTTGTTATAGAAGCGTAATTAATGTAAATATGCATACAAATTCTGCTGTAAATTTATTTTTTTTTCACTCACAAAAACTTTATTAAAACTTAATTTGCTTTTTTCTTAGAATGCAATATTGCGGTGAAAGAGAATGACTGAATACAATATACTTCATTATTCTATATTATAATGTTACTTATATTCTGAGACCTAACCATGGTATATATGAATGAATCAATTATATGCATTAGATGCATTTCAATTATAGAACTTATTATTCAACAATATTATTCTCAAATAATAAATCATTTTTATATAACAGACAGTTGTTTAAATTTTTTTTTAAAAATATTTTCAAAAATTTCTAGATATTACTAATATATTAATACAAATATTTATAATTAGGTGGCTATTTAGATATTTTTCAAATAATGAATTTTCAAGTAACAAACAAGTTAAATTATTTAGATCAAAACAAACAAAATTTAAAGCAAACAATGATTGTTTGAAAATATTTCGACATATTAATATTTAGATATGAAAAATAAAAAATAAAAATTACAAAACACAAACATTATGAATTTGTTACAATTTATTTTGATATTAAAATGGTGACCATTTTAATATTTTCAAATATTATTCATATTTTTAATAGAAATATAATAATACTTTTTAATCAAAATACACTCACTCGATTAACCATCGAAATCACCATGGAAAATTAAACGTGACACATAAAATACATAAAATGTATCCTATTTGCAATGAGTTTTTTTAAATTGCATTTGAATTCAATAAAAGAGAACTTAATTTTTTTTTTTTAAAGTGTGGGAATTGGTCTTATAATTAGTCGTAAATACGAATCCATGTATTTACACAAAATAATAATTAAATGGCTAAAATGGGGGAAAATGTAGCTTGAATAAAAAATAATAATAATAACAGTTAGTGTGAACGTCCAAAAGACAACAAATCATTTGTTGAAAATGTAAAATATTATGAACGACAAAATGGTTTTGGTATTCTGACTGATGACTATCGAGAAATACGTTTGGGATAAAAAGAACCAACAACATTTTGCAAAACCCCAGGAGGACAGATGGTTGAACCGAAGTAGCTCACCAGACAAGGATAAATGGAATCCGCCGGAAAGGTTGCTTTCACATGGGTAGGGTTGCATACCAGGCATATGACATTAATAACATTGTTTGAACAAAAGAGCTGAATCCATCGAATATTGGACTGACTAAAATCGAATTTGTTTTACAATATTTTTTTTTTTTTCATTATATTTTATTAGAAATTACTTACAAAAAGCCGAAAAAAATATTATATAATATAAAAACTCAAACGTCTTTTCGAGGTAATGAATCAATAATAAATACCAAACATTATGATGTAAGTATGTGTTTATAAGTGTGATACGTTATATAATTTTTTATTCGATTTAAAATATGTAATATTTTTAAAATTGAGTATGGAATTATAATAATATGTTATGCATATATTTCTTATATTGTATATTATATTATTTTTTACTTAACTTTAAAAAAAAAATCGAAGAAAAATGTATTCTGAGAGGAGATAGGTTACATATTCAATATGATATAGCTCTCTAATATATCCATTATAAAAAGAAAATTTCACCAATAACATTTAAATAACATTATCATCCATCTACAATGTAGATTCTACATAATTCACTCATCTTATAGATTATTTCTATTAAACATATTTTATTTCATATGTTTAAGACTACCAATAAAAACCTATCAATAAGTAATAACTAACTAGGTATAGGTATTTATCTTAAAATATACCACATGGTTTTTAGTATTTTATAAGTACATTATTATGAACTTACGTGTGCCATCGAACCGTGTCGCGATTGTATCCAGAAATGTATTCTGAGGCGCCAATAATCCTTTTCTGGCAGGCATTTGTTATACCCTAAAAAAAAATAGTTAACGAAGAATAATTAATAAAACCCGTAGACATTTTTAAATAAGAAAAAAAGTAATAAAATATAATAAGTTGGGAAGAAAGAAATAAAAAAAAAACTACGAAAAGAAGTTATAGTCGGGCTCTATTAAAATTATTTTTAAATATAAAAGCAACGACAAATTATTAAATTTCCAAAACAATTTAAGGCAAGACAGTTAATTCAAAATTGTTTATGATTATGTCAAAACTGGTTAATTTCATAACATTTATTTACCATGTTTTTCTCAAAACATCCAAAGCCATAACTACTTTATACGATTTTAAATACAATTATGTTTTTTTTTAATGGTAGTAATGTAATATAATATATAGTAATCGAGTAATAATTTTAATATTTTTAAGACCGATAAAAATTTGGTCAAATATTATATAATAGTTACCTCGCCCTCAAAATAATAATTACTTTTATACAATCAAAAAACTTAACTAGCGGTAACAATATTGAAATTCAGGAAAAATGAAAAATAAATTGCAAAACTACTAACACTTTTCGACTAACAAAATACAACTCAAAGGTTATTTTATTTTAATAGAAAATTCCAATATTCAATATTCTTCTAATAATTACCATATATTATTAGTGATTATACGCCGGATTGGGTACACTCGCGTGTCCAAGAGATACAACAATATTATAGGTAGTTCCCATAGACAATAAATACTTTTCTCTTTATTTATCTCATTACAACCTATCTATAGTAGTTCTCTGGATCATATCAATACAGTAGTATGTGTCATTATTTCATTTTTAACCATAGAAACACATTCGATATCATAATATATAGTTCAATTTTACCAGAATTCACTGGTATCTATCATATTTTTTCAATAGATTATTGTAAATCATGATACTGAAATTAATACCTAATTCAAAATACTTATATAATTGTCAGTATTTAAGCCGTTATAATATTGGAATTTAATAAACATTCATCCATTCAATAAATTGTTTTCATACAAACGGACTCTGGGTCCTATTACAGCTGTTTAAACGTTAATAGGTATGCAGTAACATAATATTATTGTTTAAAATAAATAAATAAAGTGTTATGACATTCAGCTGAATTTATATTAAAACTGCTAAATTTAATCAAACAAAATCGGCCAAATGAGTGTTACTGACACGCATTTATAGGACGTGGTTAGTTGAAGGAAATAATATTCATAAGTGAATCATTTTTACTAGAGAAATACGAGTAGAAAAAATCTGCAGGATTCCTTGTGTTCAGAGTATCTGTTTATTTTAAAATCAATAAGAGAGAGTGTTGAGGTCTATCTTACCAAATATTAAATTGAGTAAAAAATTAAGAAGCAGACAATAGAATCGCCTTTCGTTATGCGGTCAGATATATTAAGGAAATTCGGGACGTTTTGGTAAGAGCCGATGGACCCGCCTATTTATATTGAATTTTAATGCAATATATCTCAGAAAACAATTGTGTGCTGATTCAATAGTTTCGATCTGTTGAAAAGTACAGTTGGTCCAAATCAAAGGCCAAATATTTAAGATTAGATCGAACCAATGAACAGTGCAGGATTTTCAGAGATAATGGGTCTTAAAAGGAGTGACATGTGCTCTTTGTAAATCCTTCGTCTTATTTTTAATCATTTTCGCATGATTTGAAAAACTTAATTTAGAGTCGAATATTATACCTGTAAGATCTTTATAAATATTACATGCCATTAAACAACAATACAATCTAGGTAAGTAGTAATTTATAATATATTGATTTATTGTAGCGTGATAAAACGCACATTAAAATTATATTTAACTAAGGAGGAATGTATTATTTATTATTAAAATCAAGTTTTCAAAAATATTTTTATCAATGCTATGCTTAACGATCAGTAAATAAAACGAAAATGTTTAAAAAAAATAAACCATACCTAGTTCGTATTATAAAGTACCTTACACAACGTTTAAATAAAATCATTTGAATTAAATATCTACATATTAAATCCAAATTGAAAATATTATTTACCTAATGTAATAAAGCTCATTTAATTGGGCACGAGAAAAAGTCTTAAAGAATATAATACATACCTACTTATCGTGATGAAAACGTCATAAAAATGATAAATTAATAATTTGAGAGCGAACACTAATTAATCGACCGGATAATTTTTTTCAGAAAAATCGAAAACAGATTTGCTTACGGAATTCGATAGGTATACTCGCGGAAAGATTTTAAGCTTAGGCATGCGGAACTGGCAACTGTGGTATTTTTCTGTTTTAACGATAGAAACAAGAAGCTTTGCGAACGCAAATAATAATCATTATAAGTGCAAGGCATTCATAAGTCAGTCTATTCAGAAAATCTGACGGCAAAACAAATCACCAACTAATAACGACGCTCGTTCAACCTGCTAATTCGACACTATGTTCAAATTATTTTTCAAAACATGCAAATCAGATTTTTAAACATTCAAAAAGACCAAGAGAACAATAAGTAGATCAAAAACTGAAAAGACAATGTCACAAATTGTTTAAGCTTTCCAAATATTTTTTTCCCAGATTTAAATTAATTTGTGTGTATTATGTACGCGTATATATAAACACGTTTACGTTCAATATTATTATAATATAATGAAAACTTTTAAACAACTCATAAATCAAAAATAATAATGTCGTTTGTTCAATTGTTTAGTGGTGATTAGTGTTGTAGCGCAGCTATGTAATACATAATATTATTATTAAATTGGGCCATTTTTCTTGTATTAAAACAATTAATATATTAGCGGATTTAACTAATAAAAAATAACAACAACAATAATTTTAAGAAGTTTAAAAATTTTTTTAATAAACTATAACCGAAAACGATGTATTTAAATTGATTTATGTAGGAAAAAATGGTGTAGTTTAAATTAGTTGACGCATGTCTAAAAATATCGTATACCAATAATAAATTGTTTCGTGAAATGTCTTATGATTATGGAAAAAACTACGGATATTAATCTTAAGCAGTTAAACCTATCGATTAACGGAACAATGGAGTATAGTCTAGATTTTGATGGAAATTAAATTTTAATTTGAATATTAGATACAGTTAAGTACAGTCTCCCGTTCTACACACTGTAATGGTAAGTATTAAGTAATTTTTTTGTAATGCTGTTTTTGCTAATTATTACCTCGTTGAAAACATGTTTTGTGTAGATAATTAATACCTACGCATAATAAATAATAAAAAACATAATAAAGGCTTTGGAAATGTATTTAAAATTTAAATACGGTCTCGTTTGTCTAGAAAGAATTATGATATTAAAAAAAAATCTTCACTAAACCATTTCGTTAATACGACGTCCACCACTTCATTGAGATTAAAATATGATAAATTAAATTAAAACTGGGGATAGCAGGCAGTCCTAATACGATTACTATAATAATATTAAATAAATAAATACAATTACATTGGTCATATTAGTTAGGAATAAAAAACAGTTAATGATCACAGCGTTTTCAGTCGGTTTTGAATTGGAGACAACAACATCATCACGATAACAATAAACATCGAGTGAACATAAATCAACAATGTTAGATAGCATTTAAATGTTCGATTTAAAATAAACAAGATTTGAAAGACATTGGACGAGAGCGACGACGAAGGAAAAAGTCTTGATGCGGACCGACTGTAATGGGTAGGTACCTGCCTACACCTATATATCCACCATCGCATTTGTTCGGTAATAAATATAATCATACGTCTATTATAATAGGTAAACTTAATACATATAAAAATAATCATTGAGATAAATGTGTTATACCATATATTTCAATTTAGATCAGTTATTATTTAATTGATTTAAACATTTTATTTTATTTTATTGCGTTAAACCAAATAATTTACAACATCGTGGAACTGGTGAAAATAATTATACATATGGAACCCATTATAACCTATTAAAATATAATAGAAATTTAGTGAAGTCACTCCAAACGGCAACGCGCGCGTAACGAGGAAGTTTTGATATGATTATAAAAATCGATATAAGTATCTGGAACAGTCTTTATTTATAGATGCATTATTGCATTCATTAGTAAGTTCACGTAACAATTATTTAACTTAGCACCTTAAGTATTATTTGTTACCAGTGCATTATTTTTGTCTTTCAAACACTTTACACACGTAGTCATAAATTGAAACCTTGACCGTGGCTATATTATAGTACGTGTGTCGGTCTAACACTGCTGTGCTAATTGGAACAGATACTACGTAACGAATTTGCTGATTGTGCAATGGTCTTCAGGATAGAGATAAAATTGCAGCGAAATAAAGAGTATCCTTTACTAAAGAAAAGAGACACAATAACAAAGCATTTTTCTTCGTTTATTCGGCACGGGGTATACGCATGTCCCTTAGGAAAGATAGAAAGGAGACAATATCGTCGATTTCAGCCCAAATCCCGAGACATTAATCAATCGGCAACCTGTTAGCCCGATAAAGTACTTTTAAAAGATATAACAATACGAGGACCAGGGAGGGGAGACAAAATGCTTTGTAGACAAAATTCACAAAGTAAGTTTGTATATAAAATATATATGTTTTCAATTTCCACTACTATAAAGAATATATATCGTCATGTGCATTAGACATTAAAACGTTTCGTTGTCCATCAATAAGCCAATAATAATTGTAATTCAATATCACACATGATTTTCTAAACAAAAATACTTAACAAGTATTCAAATCGAAAATTATACAGCCTATGATATTAATTGTTTTTAAATTGTATTCTGTTAAAATTGAAATTGGTAATATTATAAAATATACAAAATAATATCACCAACAACCGTTTATTCATAATAATAACAAAACCAATTGTGACTTTCAATAAGATATTAAACTCATCATTCGTCTGATTTACGACTTGAAAATTGATTTTTGCCATTTAATTCTAATTTATTTATAAGGAAGAAATACGATTATATCCATTTTACGCATCGCATAATTATGAATTTCCATACAAAAATATAAATGAAATTAATTTGACATATTTTTTTTAAATTTCAATTCAGATTTTTGGACTCGTATTATTTCGTTAATACTATAAGTGAAATGAATGCGCACCAATTATTTATTTTAATGTTTCACAACGATTATTTCCTATGAATACATTTTATGGCGGTGAAAATACTGCAAAAGTTCCGTAATATAACCGTTGGAAGCGTCGGTGGAGAAAAATTACATCAAGGTGAAAAATTCTAAAAATGTTCGAGAAATCGGGGCAGATTGTGGTTTTCTGCGAGCTCCACTACGAATCGCTTTTGATGTATTGTTTCATTTAAATTTGTCTTATTAATAATTAATACACCACTATCCCAAGCCAAGGTGAACGTAAATAGCCGATATAAACCTATATAATTGATATTGTATAATACTGTATACCTATTGTATATTGTCTACACAGCACCCGATTTATTTACCCTGTCCGCTTTTGTATAATATTATTTTAATTTCTTAAAGCATTCTTTTTATTACGATACGCCGTATGATGGGTAGGTATTTGTTTTTCGGCTTAACATTGAATATAATAATAAACAGTGCCTATATCAGTTAGAAATTCATTAAAATATAATAGTAAATTTCATATAACTATCCCAACATGTTTGTAAGAACGCGCACACGCATTACCGACTAGTAATATTCTATACAATAGTACAGAACACAAATGCACAATAGTTGTCGGCCATAGACACTACGGAGTCGGATTTGAATAAAATAAAATGCTATATTATACTTTATGCAATACATAAGGTTTTATCTTGAAGCTCGTAACAACCTATACGAAATAGTACAAAATTCAAATGATCCGTTCGTGTAATAAATAATTATTTTTAAGGGGAAAAAAGGTGTTTGAAAACAACACAATTGACCAAAGTACATTCGTATTGCGTATAAAGCATGTGTGCATTGCAAAATTACCTAAGTCTGAGTTGTCTCATCTACAGAAAAAAATTATACCTGCCTATAGGTAATCGAAATATAACTTATAAGATACCTGCAATAATGTTAAATCGTCCTGGAAATGTAAGAACATATTTTTTAATCATACACTTAACACTTTATTTTTATTACCTTTTAAAGGAAAAGTTATTATAAGGCTTAACACTTAGATAGTAACGATAAAAACCTCGGAACCAGCATCGCGGTATCTACTGGTATAGAATATACATGAGATTCGTAGTTTCAATTTCAAGTGTAACTGATCGACTCGTATCGCTGCAGAGTAGGTCACCGGTAATGGATGTGTTAAATTTGAGTTCAATGATACATCATTGTATGCGAAAAACGATTCTAAACAAAGGAGACAGCGGTGGTCAAGCACATAATATTTCCATGCATAATTTATGTTGTATTAGATTATTGTTATTATTAGTATTTTTTTTTTTTTTTTTTTATTGGGTAAGTTGAACGAGTTTCTGCCAAAACGATATTTAATTTGTATGCTATATACAACTTAAAATATAGTCAATACCAACGGGCGGCGACCCATAGAAAGAAATAGTGTAAATAAATCTTAAAATTAGTTGAAAAATTCATAAGGTAGGTATATAAAATAATAATTTAGGGATATCTATCTAATGGCGAAAAGTTTCAATTACAAGTTAAAACAAATTAATTAAAATCATTAAAATAAAAATTGAGATCTTTCGTTTAATATCCAATTTTGTGAAAATTAAAACTTCAAACACTTAAAAAAAATTGAGGATAGTCAATGCTGTAACTGCTGTAAAAACAACTTATAAGAATCCTTGTGTTGGATTTTAAAGCTATTTAACTCAAAACATTTTGTCAACATAAACGGAAAAAAATTAATTTTAAAAAGTTCAAAATGTCAATAGATCAAAAAAAGCAACTTTTTTTTTAAACTATACTATTATTGGTAAAAATAACATACTAATCGTCGTTAAACGAATACATTCAATACATTCAATTCATTACAATCTTAAATTGTTTAAATCTTAAAATAAAAGTACTATATACTATTGTATTTTTTAATTATTATTAATTTTCCATTACTTAGGCGATCAATAAGTACGGTTATTACTCATTAATAATAATGCATTACTATTTTTCTAATTTACCAAGTAAAATATGAAAATCCATAAGAAAATACCACGAGAGACCTTTTTTTTAAATGTATAAAATTCTGTAAAAGCTCGTACTTATATTTCATGAGATAGTTACCTACTAAATTTATTTTTTTTTCAATTATTAAGGTAGCCAAAGTTTGTGTCTTTCGTGTAGAATAGTATTTATTGATGACATTGGTGATAATTGACAACTACTAAGGTTTAAAATAGACGTTATCATACTTGCCAAAAATTTAAAACTATCAATATATGATATTTTATATTTGAATTACATTTCCGATGAGATTTCAGTTACTCATATTTTTGTTTTTAATTTGACATAAGTATAGGTGCCTACCTCCTACGCCTGTAATGAACATGTTGCAAAAATATGTTTTAAATATATCAACACTTTCTAGGTGCACTAGATTAAATATGTAAAGGTTAGGTTACATATGTATTTTTTTTTTTTTGTTAAAAAACGGTATTACCCACTTAGTTTGTGTTCACTTGGACATTAATTTAAACTCGAAGAATAAAATCGTTTCAAAAAACACTACCTATGTAAAACATAATTTATTAACAAAATTTCATTTTCGTATTATAATTTATTTAGAATTTATTTGAAAATAAAACGTATATATTATAGCGAAAAATGTTTTTTTTTAATATATATATGGAGTCTCATTTGCACTCGATACGACCAAATCACCTGTATATATGTTTTTAATTCCAGTTAACAGAAGTATCGATGAAAAGTTTTAGTTCAATTTATTACATTCACTTTTCAGGTATGTCTGAATGTCTCTCGAGAGAAAAAACTGAGTTCTAAAAGTTATTTTATTCTACGGTTCCGAAATCATGTTTCAAGAGAGAAAAAGACTCTAAGATCCAAATTATTGCTCGAAATTGTTTAAAGTTGTATAGTTACTATTACAGTGTTATGTTGAAATAACAAAGCTGATGTAGAAGCTTTCTTATACAGATAACAATGGTTGTATTTTTTGTATTATGAATCCCAAGTTTGCCGAATACTTTAAAGATTAAAACTTTGGAATTCGAATTAATTGTAACATATTATTACTCGAGTATCGGGAGTCAACCCAGGGAGATTGATTAATCATCTCATAATTCTCAATAATAATGTACATTACACTCGTAGATATACTTACTAAAATATAACGTCATAATGTGTTTTGTGTGAATTTCAAAAACTGCATTTTATTAGTTATAATATTATACTAAGTTCAGTGCATTTTAAAACAATGAATTTTCAAAATTATTTGTCGTATAGATTTGATTTGAAACATTCGTACAATTCTTAAACCTAATGAATTATATTAACTAGTACTTATATTCTAACAATTTTTAAGTTCGCCAAATGTCAATACGTCATTAAAATGTATACATAATCCAACTTATCTAACACATCTTTGATTTTGATGGTATATAGTTTCTAGAAGAAAATTAGATCTAGCTTGGACTTCGGGCAGTCAAAAGTAAAAGTTCCCAGAAGTTATCAAAATAATGCGGAAAAACTAAAAGAAAAATACGGCAAACTAAAATATTAATCCAATAGGTACCTACCAGTTTTCAACTTTATAAAATATATTTTTATATTTTGTAGTAATTCAATGCTGACATGAAATGTGCACTAAATATTTTAGATCAGTATTTTCTAGAGATGTTTTAATTATCAAAAGATGTTTGCTCTTTTCGAGCAATTTATATAGGTACACATAATTAAGCATTTTCGACTTTTCTTCAGAATTTTTTGATTTATGTTAATAAAATAATTTTTAAGCTAAGAAGTTAAATTATTCATATTAAGTAATTTAAATATAACAAAATTTCATGGTCATAATTTTTTTTTTTAAAGCGTTTGAAGCTCAAACTTTCACGAAATTCGTGTTATCCATAATCACAAAAATGTAAATTATTTTAGTTCAACATTTTAACTTTCAAAAAATAATAATAAATAAAAAATAAAATAGTACTTTTTGTAAATTCCCGAATTATTATTTTTAAGTTTAGTCAACTTCAAAGTAAAAATTAATTTCATAATAAATCGTTTGACGAATCAACATTTTTTTTTTTACATACAAAGATTTGTTGCACATCATTCATTTCAAAAAATGTTTGAAAACTGTATGTGTCGGTTTACAAGCTTGGTAAATATTTTTTATAAAAAAATTTTGCTCAACAGGTTTTGGTCGATTTGGTTTCTGGCTTCCTTCAATAGTAGATTATAGTAAATAATATAATATAATATTATTTATTGCATTTACAATCTATAGAATCTTAAATTATGTATAATTTATTATTATTGAATCTATGAAATGTATGAATACTGTAACGTCTCATGTGTAGTTCCATATTATGATCATCGTCGTTATTATGTCTTGTAATTTTGATTAAAATCTCCAAACGGTTTTTATCGAAACAGCTGTACTAGATTAAGTAATATTATAAATAAATGTTCCAATAAAAAAAAGAAACTTAAGGACTCCGTGCAGTCGAGAGGCACGGGGTTATTGCAATTTAATTTTTTACTATTTTATTATTGCAATGCCAACCCCACTTTAACGACGGTAAAACAGAAGTGTAGTTATGGCTATGGCTCGGTGACGGTGGAGGTATAGTAGTGACGGTCGCGTTTATTACTATCATTTAATCATCAAACAGGTAGGTAGTATTATCATGGCAGTAGCTATCAGTATAAACAAGGGTTTGCGGGGGCTTACCTGACGAGAGAATATGGTACACGCGCGCGCACGGATAACGCGGCGGCGATCGACGGCGGCGGTGGAAGTGGCGGCGACGATCGTTGCCGCAGTGGCATCGGTGAAGACGAGTATATGTGCGTGTATGTATGTTGTATATATATATTGGATATATATATAATATACAAACAATGATGAGTATTATTAAAACGGTTGTGAAACAATAGTATTGAAAATAATAATGATAATAATAATAATAATAATAGTAATAATATAGAGTCGAGCGGGACGCGGATTTTAAGGGGAGTGGGGGCAGCAGGTGACCGTCATAATCGCATCACTGCGGGTGCACCGACAGCCGAGTGTGCAACAGTCGTCATGGTTGCAGCGGCAGTGGCGGCAGTGGCGACGACGACGTCACTGTGTACGATAACGTGGCGGCGGCGGCGGCGGCGGCGGCGGTGTGGTGGCGGCGGCGGCAGCCAACCCCGGTCGTCGTCGCCCGTGCGGGAGAGTAAACGGCGGCGGCGGCGGGGGTGGTGAGCGGGAACAGATTTAACGGCGATGAGCACGCGGGAAACGTCGGCGGCAGCGGCGGCGTCGACAGCGGGCGCTGATGTGGTCGCGAGCGTGAGTAGGCGCGTCCTATGTGCGGTGCACAGCGCCGTTAACGAGATACTGCCGACGACGACTACGGCTACGACGACGACGACGACGACGATGACGGCGGCGGCGGCGACGACGACGATTACGGCGGCGGCGGCTGATGCTGATGCTGATGCTGATGCTGCTGCTGCTGCTGCTGCTGCTGCTGCTGTTGCTGCTGGACGCGGTAGCAACAGCCAGCCGCCGACGAGCCCCCGTGCAACCCTAGGCAACGCCGCCGCCGCCGCCGCCACCACCACCGGTGTACATTATTATTATTATATTATTGTGCATATATATACCTACTGCTGCAGCAGAGGTGTGGATAATATCGTACGAGCAACACTACCTGACGGAGTGATAATAATAACATAAAAATCTCGTCGGTTCCCGATGGTCGTGACAATAATATACTATAATAATAATAATAATAATAATACAATTATCGTAACTATAATAGTTGTATATAATACAGCTGTACGAGGCAGTGTCAAGCGCGCCCGCGGGATAAAATCCCACCCGGGGCAAGATAAAACTTACTTATAATCTAATACTATAGTTATGGCGATATCGGTATCAAAGTGTACATGCAATTTAAAATTCCCAAGAGTGTCAACGTCTCCTCTTGCCTTCACCCCCCCCCCCCTTGAGACCGCTCTTGGGAAGTGTATCGGTTCATAATATTATTATTGTTATTAGTCTTATTCCGTTTATAATTTTCTCCCAACAGGTTATGATAAACATTATAGTACTTGTATGATAAATTGTATCGACCATGGACACTTTCGAGTCTGGCAGTGGCGTGTTTAGGAGGAATATTCCTCAACCCCGAGGCACATGATGAAGTAGCACCACCTATTCCAATTACAAGGTACTAGGTGATGTAGTGTCCTACGATACCACAGATAACCCTACGATGATTCGTCAAATCTGCACGCCCCAAAACGAGTTTTATCGTAAGTTTGTTTATAGCACCACTATATTACAATGGCCCCTGGACATTTTACTTTTGACATTTATTTTGTGTGTTTTATTTTATTTTCACAAACATTTTAAGTTTCCAAACATCTGTTCAGAACACCTTATATCCCTGTTGTGTCAGTCCGTCCGTCAGTCGGTTAGGTTAGTGGATTTTTGTTTATTTATTGGCAATATATAGTTACGATTGTGGATGTATATTGTTGATTTTAATTTATTTATCGTCTGTGTAGTACTGGACCTACGCATAGACCGTGCCTACACGAAATTATAATTTGTAAAAAATAAAAATAATAAAAAATAAACAAATACGTTTAAAAACCGGGAATTTAGCAAGCTCACAGAGTGAGTCTTTTTAAAAAGTTTAATTGTAAAATTATTGTAAAAATTGAAAATTGTAACTTGTAGCAAAAATAAAAAATCATCATTGGTTATGTAGGTAAATACTTTGAATCTCAAGCACCACCACGTATTTATGGGACTCTGAAGTCCTGGGCAATTTCCCCTTAAGCCCCACTAAAAACGACACTACTTTGAAGTCTCAACACGGGGTGGCCTACGATGGTGGGGGCTGTATTTTTCTCACGACGAACACAGTCTGACACAGGCTGACTGCGTCATTTCGAAACTCGCAAACACGGAGTGATATTCCGTTTCGTTCCCGTATGATCTATAAAAATAAAAAATACATATAACACAATATAACAAAAGTCAAACATGAATTTTAAAAGACCTCACTGGTTTTTGAATAAAATATACATAGCATAAATTCACACAAAAAATTATTCGAAACGTTCTCTTACGCAAATCGTTGTATTAAAAATATGTAAAAATTTAATGTGTAGGTACTAAAAGAAACGTGACAACTTATCAAATAATAATATGTTATTAATATTATAAGAGTTTTATTTTTTTTTAACGCTCCAAATTTAGAAATAATGATATATTCTATGTTTTTTTTCATACGTAAAGCCTAAGTATTAATAAACTTTGATGTAAAAAAAAGCTACAAATTCGGTTTAAGTGTTTCTGTGACTCTGTATATCAATTAAGAGTTAGATTTAAAAATTCAAATCGTTTTCGAATATCACGACGAAAAATGGAATTCTGATACCCAAGTCCAAGTGGCCATGTTGTAAGTAGTGCTACAGTTGTATAAGCTTTATTAATTATAAAATACTTGTAGGTACTGAAATAACTTGGCTCCGTAAATAGTTTCAATTAAATTGAATAATAATAATATTATGATCACGAAACTTTCGTACACCTACCTGTAGCTCACCCATAACAGACACTGTCGTGTAAACCTGTAGGTTAACTGGTTAGATTATGCACTGCGTTCTACGTGCGAAGAATTTTAGTTTATTTGTTTTTACTTGGTAGGTATGTAATTATTTACGGTGACCGTGATACCGTACTTGTAGTATATTATATACCTATATATTTTATATGGAACTATGTTATGTAGTTAAATGGCTATTCTTATTGAATACACAGTTAAATATTTTTTTTAGATATTCCGCCTTGTAAAATCGACTTACATAAACATACTGTACCATTTATTTTTTTTGTTTTGTAAAATAAATATCAAAATTGTTCATAATAAAATGATTACATAACACAATTTAGTGCACACGTCATATACTACCCTATTAAACTAAGTAATTGAATTGAAAAGTATATTTTTGCATAATACATATTATAACATTATTATTATTAATAAAAATAAATCTAAAAAGTAATAAGGTCACATACAGTTAGTCACATTTCCCACGTAAGTTAATAATAACTGCAGAACTTTTATGAATAATATAAGTAAATCAACATACAGCTATGTACGAGAGTTAAATTAACATTAATTAATAATTATTAAATTTAAATAAGTCATATACATTTTCAAAAGCTAAGTTGAGTTGATTCATTTACAGTTTGTTTATATACTAATTACTACTAATTACTAACCCAATAAAATACACGACAAATAAATTTTATTTTAGGAAATAACCATCTTTGCTTTTCTATTCAATTATAATATCACTGTATATATTATGTGACTTTAATAGTTTAATGTAAAGCACTACTAGGTATAACAAGATCAAAAATGATTTGAAAATCTTATAATAATATTATTATCCGTGATGAAATAATAAAAAATAAAAACATTTACTATTTTGGTATCAATCAAAACATTGAAAAATTACGATCCATACCGACATCGGCAGTCGCACGATTATCGCTGAGTTAAACGTATTCACTCCAACGACCAATACTGACTTCTAACGTGATTACAATCAAATCGTTTTCACGAGGCAAACAAAAGACCAAAGGACAAAATATTAACAATTCGAAAAAATAGCACTTGTTCAAAACGAATGAATTGTGTTATTTCTATTATCATGATTATTGTTCGAGCATAAGTTATAAAGTATAAAATAATAACAACAATGGCGACTAAGAGAGAAAAAAACGTTTTCAATAATTTTAAATTTGTAACCTTGTCGCCTACTTACAAAAACCATAAAAATATGTTCAGTGTATTATGAGATACCTATTTTTGTCATATCAATGTACTATATTTATTTATTTGATATATTTATTATACTAATTTATCTGATATACTACCTATAAATATTGTATCCAATATCCATCATTTGTAACTAGATTATTCGTCGTTATTTTACCATTACAATACTATCGTGACAAATAAGTGAGACAATTGTTAAATTGAGCGAATGGCATCATACACCATTATTGATGCAATAGCAAAGCTAGATTTATCGATATTGCACCATAGTACTCGCTTTAGCGTTTATGGTCGTTACAATTTAATGTATTAAAGCATATTTCTCTAGCAGTTGGTACGGAGAATATCGTCGATTAATTTTTTACTCGTTTTATTCCAAAAATTACAGTAGGTATACTGTCTCGATATTCTCAGGCTATCGGATCTGACAGTGGAATAAATGCCAATACCCATTCATTAATTAATTTACTATAATTAAATGTAAAATTATCAACAAGACCAAACCTTAAAATCGCAAGACTCCCTTTTCTATATTCTAGGTGTCTAGTGTACCCTGAGTGGCTGAGTAGGTCACTGTAATGGATGTGTTAAATTTTAATTCAATGATAAATCATCGTATACGAAAAAAACGTTACTGAGCAGAGACTGAATATTAGTCAGCCTACTATGTGCTTAAGGATATTTTATAAATACGCGTCTTAAATTGCTATATAAGTTTTCAAATTCCTGCGAATTTTGTCAAAATTTGAACTTCAAACGCTTATAAAAAAAACTGTGACTTTGTACTTTGTATATATATTTTGTGTAATACGATATTTTTTAGCTTAGCGATAATAACAGGTGACAGCGTAATATTATAAGGAGAGCCTAGTATTAAATGTTCACACTTTATTAATCACAAATAAAAATGTTATCATACCTAAGTACATTATATTCAAATGTATGTTCAAATATCTATGAATAGCAACAAAAAAAAACCAAAATATTTTTTGAAAACTATGTCATGTCCAGCATATTATGCTAATAGGTTTAAATATTTATTGGGAATTAAATGTTACAACGATTGTTGCTCTTTGAGTTACAGAACAAAAACAAACCCATTTTCTCGGATACCATATATATAGGATTTGTTTAAAAATTCCAATTTTTCCAGATTATTTTGGAAAGTACTCACTGATCATATTTTTTTTCTTTGGAAGGAGCCCAACTACCGATTGATAACGTATAAAAAATAAGTAGAAGATATTTTTAGTTAAGTGTTCAAATTATTGATTTTCCATATTCGTCAATGATGTACATTTTCATTTGCACATTTGCAAACACTGGGTTTTAAACAATAAACCCCTAGATTAAAACTAATTATAACTGTCCAGTTTCATACCATTGTTGGTGAAATTTAAAATTTCACAGCTCATCAAAATACTGATCACTCCAAATACAATAGAAAATGTTCACTGTACATTTATTAAAATATTGTATTTCCATTCAAAATGTAATACTGAAAAAGCATACT